TGGGAGTAGGCGGTCGGGCGGGAAGCGACAGGAAGAGGCGGGATTCCTGCCTTTTGTGTCGCGGCCCTTCACCCGGAGCCGGGCTGCGAGCCCCGCAGCTGCCGAACGCCCCAACCCTCCGCGGAGGGTCAGGGAACCCCGGGTGGACTGCGGACGGGGCGGGGCGCTGCAGGCCACGCCCACAGAGGATCTTTAAAAGGCGCGAGCGCGCGCTCGTCCGTGGCTCTCGGACTCCCTGCGTCCTGCCCCTGGTCCTGCGTCGCCAGCTCTGCCCGCGGTGTGTGCGCCGGCCTGGACTCGAGTGAGTAGGGGGCGGGAGGGGGGTTCTCTACGGAGCCCTCTACCAGGAAGGGAGTTCCCACCGCTTCCCAGGTTCTCGGGCAGCCCCGCCGTCCCCGCCCCGGTCCATTCCGACATCCCAGTCCGGATCCCAGTTTGTGGCCCCAGCGATCTGCCTGCAGCCCTGCATTCCACTTTCCTCCTCCATCCCCTAACACACCTGCGCTGCTCCCCCCGGCTCTCCGGACCCCATCCTTCGGTCCCAGACCAGCTGGGCAGGTAAATGATCCCTGCGCGACCTTTGCATTTCACAGGACCGGTTTCTCCGGGGAGAGGCGGAGTCCGGAGTTTCGCATTGCTGCTAATCCGCTTTTTACTAGCCTAGGGCCCCATTCTCTAGCGGTTAGTTGTGTCTCCGCCACCGGGAAGTGGGGTGGGGGGATGGAGGATTCGAGTCTCGGGGTGTCCTCTGCCGGAGTGTACTGCGCACAGGGGCGACTGTCCCAGGTTCGGTCTCTCCCGGGGAACGGTGGGGGCGTCTGCAGCCCGCCGAGCCAGGAATCCGCCTACGGCCGAACGCAGCTCCTGGCATCCCATTGTTTGGTGGTCTCTGGCCACTCAGCACCGAACCTTAAATGTGAAGGACTAGCAGTGGAACAGATCACGTCTAGTTTTTCCCGGAACTTTCTACCCTTCAGGTACAAACAAGGGTGCAAGAATGCTTGGTGGTAAAATGCTGCAACAGGTCATAAAAATCCATCCTGGGTTCCAGAGCCGGATTCAAGAGTTCCACGTAGCGGCCTAGGGGGAAGGGGAGGGCTTTCTAAACCGGCAGGTCCCTCTTCCTCTTCTAAGCCAGAACGCTTGTTGAATACTGGTTTCATTGGTCCGCCAAAACGTTTAACCTGTTTTAAGCAAGCAGACTAAGCACATTTTCTTTTTAGAAATGCTCTTTAATACAGGAAGTCTTTCTGAGTAATTTTTTTTCTCCTTGGACAGTGAAAATAGACTCTTAGTTCTTGACTCTTCTAATTAACTGTTTTAAAACTCTACTTCCAAAGTCCAAGAATTCAAATAAGCCACAAAGTTGGCTATACTTTGACTCAACATTTTCAAGAGAGCGTTGGGTGACTTATGAAGGGCAAATCACACTATTTTAAAACTGCACTTCAAGCTATAAAGGATTTTCTGTAGTTCTGGTCTTCCTCCACTACTAGCTCCCAGGTCCTCTTTTCTCACCATGATTGCTATTAGTTTGTGTTTCTCAGCGTGCTTTCTCTTCTGCATGGTAGTTTCCTTTGTTTCAGAGCCTGAGTCTATCTATATACCATGAGTCTTTAAAATTTTTTTAAAGGATTACTTCATTTTATTTATTTATTTAATTGCTATAGGGCATGTGCGCTCAACAGAGAGAAACAGAAAGAGAGAGAGAGGGAAAGTGTGAAAGCATATGCCAGCTCTGGGACTCGAACCACAGTCAGCCATGTGGGAGTTTAGTGTCCCAACCACCACACCACCTGCTGGCCCTGAAGGTTCCTTTCTTAGGTGATGTGAACATGCTAGGCCCAAAGCCAATACTTGTGTTAATGAAGGAAGGTGTGAATAATATGTCATTTGTGAGGAACAAAAGATTTATTAGATTGTCAGGAAAGTCATGTGTTTTTCTGTGCGAAAATGCATCAGGACGTTCCCGAAGACCCAATAATTCAACTAACAGACACTTGTTAGCAGTTTTTCGTTTTTGTCTTGTTTTCTTTTGCCATTGAGAGAGAGACACACAGAGACAGGCAGTTGTTTATTTATTGACAAAGTCTTGCTGTTAGGGGTTCCTCCTGTCTCAGCTTCTATTAAGTTAGGATTACAGGTTCACACCTGCTAGGAGTGTTACGTTTGGCCCAGGAACTGACCCTGTGCCTCCCAAGCAGTGGCACTACCTATGTGCCACGGTGGCTGGGCTGGTCTTTGGCATATTTGTTACGATTTTTTTTTTTTTTTTTTAGTTCTGTTACAGGTCATTTGCACTTATCAGAGAGAAAGAGAAAGTGAGAAATCACTCTTCAGGGCAGATGGCCATACCCTAATCCTTTCTCTCAGGATTTGGGGCACACACGCACATGTGTCCAGTGTATTTTTCAAACCACTGGGTCCAGGACTCAAACCTTACAGTTGGCCATGTGGTATTCAGCAACCTTAACTTCCAGGCCACCTGGTGGCTGAAGTTTTTCCATAATTTTTTATATTGTCAGAGGACACGAGCACTTGCCAGAGAGAGAGAGAGAGAGAGACTCTGTGTGTGTGTGTGTGTGTGTGTGTGTGTGTGCGCGTGCACATGCCCCCAAAGAGATGTGGTCACACTGCAGTCTTTTTTCCTCTAATTCTCCATCCCATCAGGATTTTGGGCACACAAGCATTGGACATGTTTTTCATGGTACTGGAGCCAGGATCTCAACCAGGCTTGGCTATGTGGGATGATGTGGCTTTTTATGCATAGCACTTAATTGCTGTGCTATGGGGCTTGCCCGCTTATAAATTCTTTTTCTTATCTTTTCTAAAAGAGATTTTGCTGTAGGGTGTGTACACTCACCAGAGAGACAGAAATGGAGAAATCACTCCCTAGGGGAGATGACCACGCTGCAATCTCTTCTACATTCTCCTCTTGGGATATTGGGCACATGTGGGCCTGGCATGAGTTTAAGTTGCTGGGTCCTGGACTCGAACTCTGGTCACCAATGTGGGAGGTGTAGCCATTAGGCCATCTGCTGAACTCCCACTCATAAATTCTTGATGAATTCCTAATGTATTCAACAAATATCCGTTGGTACTTAGGAGCTAAGTACTGTACTGAAAACAGTACTGGCTAGAGGCCTATCCTTACAGAATTGCAAAATCACTTGGCTTTTGGAGAAATTGTGTTTTGTTCTAAAGCAACAAGAATGTGAGCACAGAGTAGCAAGACAGCAATAAACAAGAGGCTTTAGAAACCTGGGTCCAGATGTAATTGCTGCTAAATAGCTATGGTGACCTGTATCTCTTAATTATTCTGCTGGTCAAAAACAAAAGGAGCCAGAGAGAGGGAGCCCTCAGGGAGAGGAGGCATGGCAGGAAGGTCAGGACTGGAGCTAGTCAAGCCTGAATTCACATCCCAGCTCATTGTTGTCATGCCCTAGGGCAAGTTACCTTTACTCCCTGGCCTCAGTTACTCCCTCTTATAAAATGGGTATAATAGCACATTCTTTACAGGCCCGTTGATGCTTGTATAAAACCCAGCCCAGCCTTGGAGAGGTTTCTTGTAAGTAGACAGCATTCTGCATTTAGTGACTACGTGTGTGTTTAGTGACTACGTGTGTGGGGGCGGGAATGGCTATCAGTGACAGTGTCTTCCAGGAGGAGCTGATTCATACTTGAACAGTACCTCCTCCTAGGTCCTGCCTGGAGGCCAGCTTTCTTCCCTTTCTTCCCTTATGTTTATAGGTTCCTCCAGGCACTCGGTCCTTTCTTGGACTGTATTTGCAAGGCATCCCTCAGGTTCTGCTAGGGGGTGACTCCCAGACTCTCATAGGGTTTGATGATCCAGATGGGGATTTCTACCTGTTTTTGTGTCATGGAGCTCTTTGGTGTCCTGTAAAGCTCTGAACTCCTCACAATGTTTGCATAAAATCCAGGAATGGAACTGAGTTTACCAGTCCTCAGCCTTTTTTGTTTTTCTTTTGCCAAAGAGTGCATGTGCTTGCAGGAGAGGGTGGGGTGAGGCAGGCACAATGACCATGCTGCAATCCTTTCTCCTCCGTTTCTACCTCCTCTCAGGGTTTTGTGCACATACACACATGCTCCAGGCTTGTTTCTCAAGCTGCTGGGTCTGGGACTCAAACTGCTTAGTCAGCCATGTGGGATGCAGCTGCCCCAACCACCATGCCACGGGCTGTTTCCAGTTTCCAGAACTTCAGGGAATCTGTGGACCCTGAGTTAAGAATTTTCATTTAGAGGAATCTTTTTCAGTTGAAATTGCAGAAGAACTGGGCACAGTTTCTGATTGTTGAAAATGTTTAAGTCATAGAGGAAGAACCAAAGTATGTGAGGAATCATTTGCAAGAATATTAGGGTCTTTGCTTTTTCGTTTACTATCTCTTTGTGCCAGCAATACTGCTAATTGTCTTTGACTAATAAGAACAGACGCTGAGTAGTACATTAAGGCGCAGTGACTTCCCTGCTCATCACAGGAGGGAAGGTTTCACAGTACTCCCAGAAGAGAGTAACCAAGTCCACATCCAGCACACAGCAGTACAGGAAAACCAAACTTAGAACAGAACCTGTGCCGCTGGGGCTAGCAGGTGGCATGGTGGTTAAGGTGCTGGACTCCCTCATGGCCGACTGCAGTTCGAGTCCCAGACCCATTGGCTCATAAATCACACCAGGTGCATGTGCATGCTTGCCCAAAATCCCCAAAAGAAAATGGAGAGGAAGGGACTTCAGCAGGGCCTTTCCCTCTCTCTGTCTCTCCACAGTGAGTGCATGTGCCTATAGCAAAAACCTTTAAAGAAGGAAAATGCAGACCCTGTGCCAGGGCCAGCAGGTGGCATGGTGGTTAAGGTGCTAGCCTCCAACATGGCTGATCCAACCATGGTTCAGGTCCCAGACCCAGAGGTTTAAGAATCACGCCAGGCAAATGTGCATGCCCGAAATCCCTGGAGGAGAATGGAGAAAAGATTGAGATGTGGCCAGCAGCTCCCTGCCGAGGGTGATTTCTCACTGTCCCTTTCACTGTCCCCCTCTGTCTCTCTTTGGTGCACATGTTCTATGGCAAAAACCTTAAAGAACAATAAAAAAAAGTCTCTGCCATAATCACAGGTCATTACTACATTTGTGTTGCTAACAGTAGTTTAGTTTTAACAATTTTTTTAAGAATTATTTTATTTAACTTTATTTATTTATTTTAATATGACCAGTGAGGGACAGAGAGAGGGAGAGAGAAAGGGAAAGTAAGAAAGCAAGCCACGAGGTCCGAGACTTGAACTGCTGTCAGCC